ATCTGTACTCCACCACCAAGTTTCTCTATCAATTTTTCCTCTACCTTTCGTTTCTCCTAGCACACGTTTCTTTTAGTGTATGTATATCAATAGAAAAAACAAAACATGTTACTATACCATAACACTTGATATAAACAAAGTTTATGTTATTTAACCTGTTTCAAATTACACTATACTATTTACTCATCAGGTTTCTCTATCACATATTGTTACTTATGTAAATGATTGTAGAGCAAGGACAGTGAGGGCATGTATTCAGAATGGAGCTCACTGCCACTGGAGGGAGGAGGGCAAGGCGTGCTGGGTGCAGTTGGCGGACGCGACGTTGTACTCGCCGTCGTGAAGCAGCTTGCAAGTCATCAGCCCAGCCCACTCACAACTGATACTGAGGTAGTGTTGCTTTAGTATGGAATTTATAAGTTTTGATGACTAGTGTGCTTTGTCTAATTGTTATTTTTTGACAAACTTATAAATGTTGTTTCAAGCCATTATGTTCTTAATTGTTTTCAGGTTGAATGGGTGCTGGAGGTTCTGCGTTATGGCCTATCACTACCATTAACAGAGCATGAAGCTTTACGCGCGTGCGTTTACGTGTGCCACGCATGGCTTGGTGCTCTGTTGCCCCCCGCGCCGGCGTCCCAGCCCCCGCAACCCGCCATCCCGCCACCTCTAGCAGCTGACCCTAAGCGATATGCCGCAAAAATACTCAGCCATTTACATAACCTTTTCGTGCCAAGAGCTGATGATAGTAAGTTGAAAATATTTTTTGCCAATGGACAAATAGGACTAAACACATTTTTAACCAAGTTTAAGGTACATCACACAGTTTAGGTTCACATACAAATTAAATTCAACTGAGATTATTTATAATCAACATAGAATCAAAATGGATTTCTGAACTGTACTGAACTGTATGTAATTCTTTTACAAGCACTCACATTCATCTATCAAATGGAAATAGGTAAGTTGAGATGATAAAACTTTTCACTTCTTTACTTGGCGATGATGCGGTATCAAGTAGTTCCTTATTTAATGCTTATTGTGTATAATCTATGTATGTAGGTGCAGACTTGATCAGCAAGCAGGCCGTGTTGTGCCACCGTGTGCTGCGACTGGCACGGTCATTGGCGGACAGTGGGGCTTTAGGACCGCGCGAGTGGCGCGCACTACT